GGTTTCTCTCAGCAAACGTCCAGCTTGTTGTGGAGGGAGCGGACATTGGAGAGTAGGAGGACGGTCCTGCTGGTCTGGAGGGGTTAGCCTTTAGCTTAGCATGGATCCCGGTTCTCTTCCTCCTCCTTTGTTTGCGTTTGTACTGTTTGTGCTTCCTTCTCTCTCGGGTAACTGCCGGCGTCGTCTCCAATCAGACTCCATGTTGGTGTAGTTTGTCCACATCACAACCGATCGCCACAATTCCAGCACCGTTCACTGTCCTGACGCCCAGCAAAGTCTCCCGGTGTCTAGGATAGACAAGACACTCAAAACATTCATTTTCGTTGTCTCCTGAAGGGGGAGCTGTGTCTATCACCATCACCATGGCAACTTGTATGGTTAATATGACCTACTGTATACAGTGTAGATGATACCTCAGCGTCTTCTGCCCCTTTACGTAATTCCAGACTGACATTATGTTGACATCAGGTCTCTTGTGGAGCTGTAGGGTCTGCTGCTGGACTTCTTGTTCTTGTGACTCAGGCTGGATGTGGGCTCATGAGTTTTCGACCAACCAGGTGCCTCTGGCTAAAGACGATCAAGAACACAAGAGCGCCGCACATAAACTGAAGATTTATTTAACCAGACATAAGATAAATAATGACTGTACACGACATGGAAATCAGTAACATTAGTGATGTCTTGTATATGTGAGCAGGTAGAAAGTGAAGCGTGGTGAACAAATTAAGTGAACACAAGAGCTCAAACAACATACCATCTGTCAGAGAAAGCGAGAGAGCAACTGAATCCCTCAGCTTATACAGCGGAGGAGCAGCCGACGTACTTCCTGTTTTACTCCCCAAAAGGAAAAAGCACCACCTGCTTGTGCACCGCGACAAAAAGGGGAATGAGGTGTAAAAGTACAAGCAGACGTGAGGGCACTGTGAGCTCCAGCTGCAAGACCGGTGACACCGGCAAGCATGTGCAGGCCTGCCTTTTGTTCACACCTTCTCAGGTGGACAACTGAGACAAGCCCATGTACCGCTCAAAGACTTCTCACTGCAAGACGAGTGGGACGACCACACACAGAAGTCCACATGGGAGGTCGAGGCCACTGTCACACATATTGAATTTGACTCTGTTAGAGCGAAATGTAGCCTCGATAAATGCACCAATAAATGAATGCAGCATTTCGTTTACAATCAGGGGCACCACCGGTTCTAACATTTGGAAATTAACTACTAATACTTGAGGTTAAATATTAATATAATTTATCAAATCTGCTTGTATTGATCATTCTTGTATTCAGAAGTCATGAACTCTGATTCAAACAAAGAACTACCCACTAGAACCAACAATAATTACACAGAACATTTATTTACTGCTGCTGCAAACAAACAATAAACCAACAACGATGTAACAAACAACAGACAGCAAATGGACGGAAGCAGATAAACAAACTAATTAATTAATTTTGATTGTCACTGGAAGCACTTGGCAGAGAGGTGATCAGTTTAGAATCACTTTGGAGCTGAGAAGCCAATTGTAATTTTCTAAATCTGCCCGTTTAGCAGAAAGAAAACGGTGCTTGTGCAGCCGTGATGATCTGTTGGATGAGTTGGTTCGGGAACACAGAGACTGGACGGCACATTTACGTAGCTGTGTTGAACGAGAAAACGTTTGTTGGATCGCAAAAGTAACCGAAGAAGCCCCACCTTTCAGTAAAACATGCCCCAACTTAAATTGTAGAAAAGCACCTAAAAAGGCCTCTAACATTGCAGGATAAGCCGGAATAAAACAATAGAAAAAAGCTCAAGTTACATTCCAGTGATTTTATTTTTATTTTGGAGCCAAATTTAAACCAGCATCTACAGTAACCAGTCATGGATGTGTTCATCCCAAGGCCTGGTCTGTAGCTGTCGAGGAGAGCTCAGAGGACAAATGCCATCAGTACCTTGTTTTTCTTTGTGTTTGTTACTTGAACATACAATCCAACTGTTAAATATCTTATGTGGTTACAAATCTGAAATCCCTCTGAACATGTAAATAAATTGATATCAAATATCAAACGTGATGTGTTTCTCTCATGCTATTCCTGAGATCATATAAAAAGTGTAAACATGCGAACACACTGTGGAGTTTCAGGATACATGAAAGTACATTTCTAATATAACTAAGAACACAAGCGTGTTCATTCAACAATGAGACAGATATAAGAATTATTATATATGCTCAGGATAAGAGTTTCTCTGGGTGTCTTATGGCTGAGAGAAGAAACACTTCAGCTGTGAGGTGGTCTTCTTCAGTACTGGTCCCATCAGTACTTGTCCTGATGACCTGGTACCATCAGGTCATCAGGACAAGTTCTGATAATCTGGTACCACAGACTGACTTCTGATGTTTGGATCATCAGTCCGGTGAGGTTTG